TATGCCAGGGGGGGGGTTGTGTGTGTTGTTATTTTGGGGCAGAGGGGGGGGGGGGGGGGGGTTATACTGGGAGATCCCAATTTAAAAAAAAAAACTGCAGCAGAAAAAAGTAGGGTGTCACACATGGCAGCAGTGTGCGCTGTCCGACACGAGCCTGACTGTCTGGAGCCATGCTCCAGCTGCCAGCCAGGCTCTGTGCACCTGGATCACCGCCACTGGAGCCCCATGGGGACCCCCAGATAAAGCTGCTGGGGCCAACCCAGGAGCTGGTCCCAACCTCCCCTACCCCACCCAGGGCAACTTGCTGTTTGCCAGAGCGTGCATGCATGGGTGTTCCCTGGGGACAAGCAACAGTGATGCAACTATGTGCTAATGCTATTTGTCCCCAGTAAAATGCACCTGTGTGTTCCTCTGGACACACCCATTAAGGCCTGGGTTTGAACTTGTGGGTCTCCTATTAACCTAAGATTTTAGACTTTCTCCAAAAATCTATTGCTCAGATCACAAGCTTATCTCTCTGTAACCAAGACCAACTCATACCAAGAAGTCTTTTTCATCCACCCCCCCCTTAAACATACCATTAATGTGCAGCATTGCTTTCTAAACATTTTAGCTCCATTTGCTTGCTTAAGTTGATTTAATTCAGAAAGTGTCTGTGTCAAATTAGTTTTGACTTCTTCATATCTGGCATCTGCAAAGCCAAGTTCTCTGTACCATTTCTGAGCCTAGGAAAGAAAAAGGATGACAATAACTGATAATGAATATATGAGTATGTACAATATGTCAAAGTTCCTTAAGTGACAATCAAAGCTAATCAACAGTAAGATTTTATCAGTTAGAAAAAAAGACCATGACATTTCCTTAAAGAGTTTGGAATGGGGAATACAAGGTTAAAAAAAAAAAATGTCCCTGATTCTGCATTATTTCTGTAGCGTATTATCCTAAATTATTTCATTGACGGTGAATTTGAAAACCCAACTTTCAAGCTTGCTACCTAGCATGCTGTCAAGAAATGTGCTATTCTGCTATGCCATAACTGTTATAAGATCACAAGTATTCTTCCTTCTGATTACTTGAAAATAAAGATTATACAATCTTCTACTTTAACAAAGGAAGGTTTTTCTCCCTTGAAAAAAATGAAAATAAAATGTTAAAGGTCTGAAATTGGTAAGGTAAAGAATCAGTTACACAGGCAGTGTCCTTTGCATGCAAGTTACAAGTTAATGGTCATCCTCTTAGCAAATACATGCATGGATAGCTTTACTCAAGGCATCACTTCCTCACAGAACTGTCATAATCTGCATATACCATACACAAGCCACTTTGCAACACTACCATTATACTTTTCTTTCATTATTCTTTGCTACTACCACTTTATGCACTGAATCTAAAATTAAGTAATTTCACAGATGTCTCAAAGACTCAGATATATGGACTTCATTATAAAAGACGTTGATTCTTTGGCAGAAGGCAGGACAAGGTGGCATCTTTTGTTAGAGCTATAAATGGACTTGCAGAAAGCAGGAGTTTCAAAAAAAAAAAAAAAAAAAAAAAAAA